CTAAGGAAACAATGGTCAAGTTCAACTCGCTTACAGTAGTAATTGTCATCAGCACATATAACTTCTTTTTGTTCACACGTCAATCTAGCACTATATATCTTTGTGGATCAAGTGACAGCGTTTATAAGCACAGTTTTGTTCTTACGGCCAGTCTACACGACCGGCTACTGCTGTACATGTAACATGTACGAATTAGCAATACCAGAAACCCACTCAGATAACTTATTAATGCTAATATTTTTGCAGTAAAAAAAATGAAATTTCATTTTAGTCAGTGTAACACACAGATCCTACTGAGTACAGAGTATTAAGTATACTTAAACCATGTCCTCGGAAACACGCATGCTTACGTGTACGCTAAGCACCCTGCCCTCCGTTTACTGTAGTATTCAAATATCAATAACAACATGCATTATGAAAAAGTATTTAATATTTAAACGATGCCGCCTTCGGACTTTGTGCAAATCTCCATATGTAAACTGGGAAACACATGCATTTATTGATGTCAACTACACATTCTAGTTTTAACCAATTGAAGCCACCTTCGCTGCGCTCGGCAGCCAGTAGAAATATTTAAATTATTTTATCCAATGATTTGTCCGGAAAAGCGTGACAGGCACGACAATTTAGTGTGACGGACAGACAGGTTGCTGCAGTAGATGTTTAAGACTAGCCGTTCGCCGCCGCTACGCGGCGGAGTGGCATGGTTTGTTGGAGATAAGGTGGCCGCAATTTTAAGTACTTCGTGTGTTGTGTGCTTTCAGTCTGATCTTGTACCCCGAGGCTTCGGCCATCCCCGTGCGATGTTGTGTCGTGTACTTAAAACACCTGTCATTTCGTAGTCTCATGTGGCAGTGTACGGTATCGTTAATTCGTACGCGTCCGTTGCTCCGTACTACTGGTTGGCGTCTATGTTCCTCCGTGGATATTGCCCTTTTCCGTTAATGCGCTCTCTCTTTTGGGCTCATGCTTTTCAGTAGTACGACACCCTTTCGTGGCTGCTATTTTTTCGTGTTCCCAAGGTCTTGAGTGGGTTTACAGGTTTAGTGGTCCATATTCATTCATGGTCCATGGCGTCTCATCGACGGTACCCTCGCCGACGGGTGCTATTCCGTAGTTATATGGATCCGTCCCCCGTGTAACGTGCTCTCCTGGTGTGACTTCATCGACCGCGTTATCGCGCTATCATGCGAGCGCAGTATAATTCTGCTATCCTATGCTTTCGTGCTCGCGTAGTGCATCTGTGTTTCCCGTGTTATTATATTCAACAATGGCATACTGATCCACGTTGTGCAATCGTGATATCCAAAAGCGCTCCCCGGTGCTTCCGTGGCTGATCTGCCGCCCGTGCAATCGTGGAATCGCCTTTTGTGGCTCCGCGATTTGCCGTCTATAACTCCCGTTGCTGCGTGTTATCTCACGGTTTAGTGGCTGGACCACCGTCCGTGCAATCGTATTATCTCGCGGTATCGTGGTTGGTCTGTCGTCCGAGCTATTGTGAGCTACCGTAACACTGTGCTCCGTGGCTTGGATCTACCCTGGTATCGTGCTCCAATGCTCGGTGATTTCCCGCTTATGCTCTCCTGTGGCTTTGTGTTAGGTTCATCGTCTGTGCTTCATGTTCTACCGTGGTGTTATGGAAGAATTGCTTTCCGTGCACCTTACCGTTTCCGTGGCCCGTGTTTTTCAGCATGTTGGGGTGTCATTACTTCAGTTACTTTCCGTGATCCATACGCTCCCATCATATTCTTGCCATTCCAAGTTCATGGTAGCGTGGTCGTCCGTGGTTCGTGCTTTTCAAAATGGCTAGCTGCCTTCATTAATTTAGTCCTTTTTCAACGTCCGTGGCCTTCTGTGCTTCGTGTTTTTTTCTCTACCCCATCGTGTACATAGTGTGCGCCGGTGTTCCTCTGTTTTTCGTGTTCTTGTTTATCCACTTGCCTCCGCGCTAATTCAATCGCAAACGCTGTTTTTATTTTGTTTGATGTATGCTACATATCGTGGTGAAAAGTGCGCACAATCTCTTAAGGTCGTACACTACGCGCGCGAATACAAAGGAATACGATCCTTTTTTATCGGCGGCGGAGTGGTGTACATGGTTATGTGGGGTGGGATGGTGGGAAGCCACTATATTCACATTTTAAAAGTGTTCGAATATTTAATATTAGTAATAAATTGTGCATCTTTAAATAACGCAAATATAATACCGGTACTTTGATTTAAATTGATTAGTATTAGTAATAACATGCGTTTTTTTTTCTTGCGCAACTAATTAATTTTTTGTAGTACTGCTATAAACGTCTGCAAGAAAAATATGAAATTCTCAGAACATAGTATTACTCAAAAGTTTTGTAAGTTTTATTATTTAAAAGTACTACGAAGCCTAAAAGACCATTATATATCCTATATGTACTAAAATTTCGATTGAGGCCGAAATATGAGTCACCAAATCCTACAATTTTTTTCAACAGCTCCTACGACGATATAGTATGTGTGTGCTTATCGGCGCCTTATACTAATGCTAACTAACGCGCACGCCACCTCACGCGAAGGGCAGCGCCCTTCGCGTGAGGTGGCGAACCGCAGCTGAAAATGGGGCAAATGGAAATTTGAGCGGTGCATTTAAGTACGATGTGTAGACCACATAATGCGATTTAAGCCAATCGACGCCGCCTTCGCTGCGCTCGGCAGCCAGTAGAACGCGCGTATTAGCGTGAGTTTTATTAACCCTATTCATGGCTAAAAGTGCAATTTTTGCATAGTCAAGCCGAGTCACAAAGATAGGTGCAGTCGAAAGGATGGGAAAATATAGTACCGAACAGGTGGAGTGTAGCCATGTGCGAGGAAAGGTTCATGCTAGCAAACAGGCCCGTAACGGACGGACGTACGGACAGACACACGTCAGAGGGATAAGATAGCAAGCGGAAGCACACGGCCCTCTACTCCACAAGCGAACGGACGCAGTAAATCGGATCTAGAGACGAAGTGATGATGCCGTTATGCTGCCATTTTTTACTTGGTGTCAGTAGACTTCGTGCAGTACTGAGCTAATAATTACTAAGTGTTTGACGCCTGCTTAGTCGGCATAGCTATCATGGAATCAGCAGCTGAGATCACACAGATTCCGCCTCAGCTGAGCATCAAGTCAGCGAGCCATTGACACCGTGTCGGAATCGGCTACCAGGGCACGACTTAGCTTTCATGGTAGCTACACCGTTCACTCTAATTCGTGCTTCGAAATTTATCGTGCATTCGCGCTTTAGTGACGTCAGAATCCTGGAATAATGTAGAAGGCTCACCAATTCTAAACAAAAACATTGGTTTTGGACAGATCTCGGCAATTTCTTTATTTTAGTCTGCTTGGTTTGAAATATGAAAATTTACTAATTTCTGTGCTCCAACCTAAACACCATAATTAGTCATGGCATGACTAATTAGAGTGAACGGTGTAATGGCTACGGTGTATTGGTAAGGCACATCAAGCGGATAATTGAGACCGCAAATGGGCTGACGTCGAGCAAGCTTGTAGTTGTGAATGAAAGCCGGCGATCAACGCGCCCCAGAAGATAGCATTTACAGCGCAGACGAACTCAAAACCGAGTTAGAAGTGATTTTCCACTAGGCTTGCCTACGATTTTTTTTTGGTGCTACAGCTCTTCGTCTACTTTCCTGGGGCCCGTGTGCAGCGGCTAACGTGCCTTAGTCATACCACCGACGCCCGCATCGAGGAGCAGCTACCTCGCGTTGCTAAATACTTTACGGCGACCAGTCAAGGTCAATTGCCGGAAGATGCTCCGACATATGTTAGCTTCCAAAATTGCAGTATACAGTATAGACTGCCGGCCAAAGTCTTGAAGAGAGGGCAGCACCAGCCGCAGGTTGCTGACGAGTATAAGCTCACCCGAGCTCGTATTTACGGCGTTATCGTGCCTCTGTTTGCTAAAAGTGAATTGGATCTACTTTTAATTATTTTTATGTTCCGACTTTACGGTAAACACTGGAGCTACCCGCCTTCAGTTGGTGACCCTTATATCGAGAGCTACGCAATCAGGCCCGCCTTAAGATATGGTGGACGAAGACATGCAAACAAAACGGGGGACATCTAGTCCTTTGCTGGAAGACGCTACAGAGGGAGAGTACTTCTCTGGCCCACTCCAATACGACTGTTTCTGTTTTTGGTCGATTGCTCGAGACCCAGAGCTCGCCCATTAACGAATAGCGCACCAGCTCAAAACCCAAGTCATGGCGCACACTGACATATTTTTTAGCCTGCTTTAACATCAATTGTCGGAGAGTAATATCCGCTCAAACACCTCGCCATCTAGAGGCCGTTAGTTTTTTTTGTCGCAGTTCAATCAATATTTAGCGATATTAAACCTTTTTTTAGGGCAGATAGACCAGACAATTACCAACAGTTGGACGCGTTCTTGTACGCAGAGATGCGCTGGAAGCGCTACGAATTCGAAGAGACGGGAGCGAGGTTTAATGTATAAAACCAGAGCATTAGTGTAAACCAACGATTCTTATTGACCAATCAGCGATTGTGTAAGAAATTAGCCAATAATTACGAATAAAATTGCTGAAATTAAAGTTGCCACCACCACTAAAGGGACCGAGTCTTAAACACTCTTAGTAACAAGTGTACCTTTAGGTCGATTAGCAGAGCTACGAAGGGCTTCAACCCTTTTAGCTATAGCCAAATTACGATCTTACCATCGAAGTACTGCTTTTTGTGGCAATCGTATCGGTGCCGCGCAACTGCAGCCAAAAACATGATTTTACCGATGGACCTTTTGTTCTAACATGACCGATATGGAAGTTGCTCATTTGGTAATACTTCGTGGCTCATTTATAAAGGCTAAACCACTTTTCATTGACATGCACGGTGTCATACTGTACATGTGATGGATTCTTTACATCCTGGCACCTTAACATCTTAAAACACAATAAGTTTTTTTAGTTGAGAAAACAGAAATAAAATTTAAAGAGATACATGTTACTTAATCTAGCGGCAAGTCAACATGACATAACACCCATTGAAGACGCTTGATCTTGTGGTTATCCGTAAGTGTAGGGAAGAAGCCCGGTGTAGTGTTCGGCAAGGTGGCGCTTGCATGTACTTCTTGGTATTCCGGTTGCAGCGGCGAGCTGGCGCTGAGTTTGACGTTGTATTTCGAAAAGTGACTGAGTGCGTATAAGCCTCTGCCAGCCATGAAATTAGTGGTCGGTACCCAGCCATATAATTATAACAATTTAAGCCAATGGAATGGTAGTATTCGTTTAGGTGCGATTAATAAAAAAACCAATCGTCATATTGGAGTGGGCCAGAGAAGTAAGCTTGTGTTCCAAAGGGGGGTAAACCCGGTAACTGTGCAAGCTTAGCCCTATTGTTTCGCTACGTTTGGTACCGAAGTTCATTGCTTCAAGTACCTTTTCTGGTGCTTCACGGCAAAACATAAAAATAGAAGAGCCCCAGTGGCGTGGCTTAGATTTTTGAGCTCTTGATACATGTGGATCTTGGCGCTGTCAAGAACAACAGTTAAGCGTGGCAACGGCCAAGAATTAAGGATGGAAGCTATTTTGTTCTCGAAAACATCCCGAAAACAGCGTTTTGGTAAAGGTATCGACTGTCATTTCCCACGCAAAGAATCCAGTGACGTCCATGACGGCCAAAACGGAGGCGCTTTGCCTCGGGCGAACGGGATACTCACATTTACTGGAGTAGTGCGAGCTAACCACCCGTGATGTCGTAACACAGACCTACTTGTAGACATGGTAAAGTGTTTGGGAGTACAATCCTATAATTAGAAAAGTAGACACAATATCTTCCGTCTTTTGATGTTTCATCTAGGAAAACAAGTTGATGAGTCCCGCTGTAATATGGACTCAGTCTCGACATATACTCTCGTCGCTCCTTGGGGAGGCGGTCGCTCGTTTGGTCAGGATATTGCGAGTCAGACCGAGGTCCAAGCGCAAGGTGCGACAAATAGTAGCGTACGAAAGGCAGATATCATTAGGAAGGTTAGCTAAAATGACCGTACAGAGCTCCTCAAAGTAAAAAAAAACGCATGGCTTTTTAGATCTTCAGATACAAATGTAAAAACCGCTTGACGCCATCTTGATTTCTGCTCGGCTGATGCCTTTTTGTCGACGTTTTCTTTCGTATTTTTTTTATTTTCTATCAAGGCTCCTTTCTGAATTACCTAGCAGAGTAGCTACTTAACGCAGCTGTATGACGTAAGCGTAAGTAGGAACAGTGATATGCCACTTCAGCCCAAGACAAAAAGTCCTCTTTTACTGCACTGTGGCCCTTTGGGCCTACAGCTTAGACTGCAAAAGTCAGAATGCCGTGGAAAGCGTCGGCAACCGGGGGCATGACTGGCTGGAAGGAGGTGCAACGCTTCCTGCTAAACAGACTTACAAACATACAAATGAAGTGTAAAGTGAAGTGAACTCAGAACGAACCAGTAGAAAACAAAATTTATATGGCTGGAAGGAGGTGCAACGCTTCCTGCTAAACAGACTTACAAACATACAAATGAAGTGTAAAGTGAAGTGAACTCAAAACGAACCAGTAGAAAACGGAATTTATCTCAAGTTAGACAAATTCCGAAAAGTCACAATATACTATAAAAGGGAGCTACTTCTTGCAATAATATTATGTAGCGACTTACTTAGCTGATTTACCGCTCACTTATTATTCCTTCTCACAGCTAGCTCGCACAACGCCATCAACCAGTCACGTCTTTGCCAGCATTGACGAGGTGAAAACACTCTGCCGCAGCTTATAAGAAGATTTTTTTTCTAGATTAGCAAGTACTTCGCTTAGCTTTGTGCCTTGGATGCACCTTCTCGTCTAAATTATTTCCCAACCAAATTGCTAGTGATTTTAAAAGCACTGCAAACTGGCGTTAGGAAAAGACTTTTCCCACAAATGCAAATGTTGTCAAATTGTTATCCCATTGGTTGCAAACGCTCAACTGAGCCTAGCTACTCGTTTGGCGTGAAAACCACTGAAGCTTCACCCCCACAAATCAACCAAGACGCTAAGTTACAGTCTTTGTACACGCACCAACCTCTTGCATGCCATCAACACTAGAGCCAACGACAGCAGCGCGTCGTCACGCCCGTGAACTAACTAAAGATGGCGTTGCTCGCGCATTTCATGAGGGACGCGACTGGAAGTGGGTTGCTGCAAGCAAAGATGTAAATTATTGGACTACAAGGAGGGTTGTTATGCGTTTCGGCAGAAGTGGAGGAGAAAGAGCCGTGAGAGGTCGGATGTGTGCGCGGAAGCCGTGTCAAGATGACAGCTGGTGAACGTGCGACTGTTGCCCCCACCCTCTCTAACGGGGCAAACCTACACATTCAAGACGGTGTGTTGCTTGAGAGCTTTTATGACAGCACAACACCGAAGCCTACCGTGACCTGGAGCCCAGCACAAGGTGGTGATTGTGACAGATAATGCTCCAGTTCACAGCCACAGCAATTCAACCATGATGTGATTGTTGATGATCGCACTCGGGGACACACGATAGCAGACCCCATAAGCACATCCCGGGAGACCTTGAATATGACTTGACATTTTGAAGACCGGCACAGGGCAAAGGCGTTTGTACCCTCAATCAGGACGCACATACCTATACCTTCCCAGCCTATCGACATAAAAGGGTGTAACGGGGTTACACGCAAGCTACACATAGCCACTTGGTTACGAAAGAGGTTTTCCACATTGGTGTGAGATACACCGATAGAAACATCCGGCAGACTGTTGGTCTGCATGCATTCAAGGCATTCATTGGTTGAAATTTAATATCCTCAACCAATTTGAATAATAGTATACTGTCAGTAATTCGCTGACGAATACTTTTCATTTAGATAATTAGATTAGGAGGCAAACCGAAACAAACAAATAAATAGCTCTCATTTTTACCGGAAATCGGCTTTGCTTTGCTATTAAATAAATCTAAACTTTCGGACGAAAGTTTATTTAATCTAAGTGAAGCGCAGCTTACGCTTCCTCATACACGTGCGCTAACGTGTAAGCCGAAGAAGTGGGCTTAAAGTAGGCTCATTATACCTGGTAGCACTTTGTAGTCCGTCCAACGACCGATTAAGTAACGAGTTCGTATGGGATACGAGCACGGGGCGGAGAACCAACCCATGGATAGTAGTCCGACCATGCGCAGCCTAAATTTATTTGCTACGCACGTTGTGCGTGCAGACAGTCCCCATCTGGCGGACCCAGAGTGGGAAGCTCTCCAAAGACTGTCAACAGTTATTCGAGAGGCAGCTGTAGCGACAATGCTACGTACGCTGTCGCCGACAGAGCAACATGGTGTTGCTCTGGGATTCATCGTGAGCGAGCAGCATGCGGCGATGCTCGGCATCACCGCGTACAATAAACAAATGTGCAGAACCAGTGCCCTACTGGTATTGTAGTCGCGCGTGTCTACAACGGACCGGAACACTGGGGGACTGCAGCCTCCAGCGAGATGGATTCTCGCTGCAAGAAGCGAGGTCACAAATCCAATCTTGTCATCCTGAAAGTGACTTCAAAGAGAGCAGTCTCTTCGTGCTTTGCTTGACTCAGGTGCGTCGACCATCTTTGTCCGACTGGAAAGTCCCCCGAAGCTGAACTTCGAGGAAGTCAAAACACCTCAAAGTGTTTTATACGTGCGGTTGGCAACAGGTGTCACCGAAAGAACGAAGAAGCGCGTAGTACGCGTGCGCTTCTCGTACAAGCACCGGGTGTTTGTGGAAGATCTTATCATCCTAGATCTAGACGATAAGTTTGACTTGGTATTCGGCATGCCGTGGCTTGCACGGCATGATTCAGTGATTAATCAGGAGAAGTGTACACTTGTACACTTCGGACGCAACGCGACAGAGAGCGATGGCCCTGTCACTGTCGCGCAAGCACCGCGAGGTGCACCCTATCCCACCGTTGAGGCAGCACCCTACGCTGCAGCCTCCGGTGCCCATTTACAAGTCGCAACCACTGAGGCATTCGCTGGGTCTGTCTCAAATCGGAAATCAGATTTGAGACACGTTCATACTTCAATGACCGTAGCAACCCGGGGAGTTGATCGATCAAGTATGAAAACTTCAAGTCACAGGCAATGGCTGTGGCGGAGGTGCGTCGGTCCCGAGTACTGACGCATCAGAAACGCAAGAGACTCCAGCTATATACAGTAGCTGTGATGTCGGCGTGTCAACTCCGAGAGTTGACGCGGTCGTGATTGGTTCAAACATCACGAAGGGCTCGCCGAAAGGCGTCGAGGTAACAAGGACGTGTCGACTCCGGGAGTCGACACAAATTCGATATCAACATCGAGAGGGGACTCCGTCAAAAGGCGTCGAGAGGATGACAGCGCGTCAGCTCCGAGAGCTGACGACGCGGCAAGCAGTGTTGGCGGTTGCAAACGTCCAATACTGAAAAACTTGTGTGCCCGGGCTTAATCATTCGCGACCGCGGAAAGAATCTGCCGACGGCTACAGCTGAAATCCGTCGAAGGTCGGGCCTGGACGAGAAACATGTGAAGTCGGGTTTCACAAGAACAAATGACAGCGCAAGCGGCGAATGCTGCGCAAGTCTCGGTCCGGGACCGAGGCGATACGAACGATGTCTGCCGGGCAGACATCGGAGACGACGTTGTGCGTCGAGACGTTGAACGTCTAGACGCGGACCCGTACTGGCCTCCAGTACCGGTCAATGGAGAATCCCCCGACGAGTGCGTCGGAGTTGACGTCGTTTCCAGTCATGGGCTGGATGCGCTTCGCGAAGGACCTGTACGATGAACGCATCGAGCAGATAGGCATCCTTTCGGATATCGAAAGGGTGGAAAGCGAAACGGAGGCGTTAAGACAACTTCAAGCTGCAAAAACCACTGAGAGAGAGTAAGGACACTCTCAGTGCGAAGACAAAGAAGCAGCGCTTCGACGAGCAGAGATGGGACGCATTGAATTCGAGTCCCTTCTACGATGTTCTGCTGGAGCACAAGAATGTACTCCCGGAAGCGATTCCTGCGAAAGTTCCGTAGGATAACGGCATACAGCACGAAGTACTGTGTGACGCGGCAGTGACCAATGCTGCGTGATCAAGTAAAGGCAATCGACGACATCTTTGAAAGTCGTCGTAAAGCGGGTCAAGTGCGGGAATAAAAGTCCCCGCACAGTGCACAAACGGTTTGTGTCAAGAAGCCACGGCGGA